TCATTGTAACAAGAACAGTAATAGTAGCCCAATGGTATGGACAGAAATAAGCATTTATAAATGTACCAACCACATCATTGTGACAATAATATATCCAGTGGACCAATAATGTGGACAGAAATAATCATTTATAAATGTACCAACCACCCTCATTGTGCCAAGAACAGTAACAGTGGCCAAGTAGTATGGACAGAAATAAACATTGAAGGATGTACCAACCACCTCCCTATGCTGTTACTGAGGAGTGTTACTTCCTTTCACTTGTGACTATCCTGGTGGCCATACTGTATATTGAAGTAAAGCCACATCTATCAAATGCTGATTTACAAATGTAGGACAAATTACCAATTATAATAACATCAGTAGTAATTTATATGGTGTGTTTTATAATTTTAGATATGAGTGATGATACTTGTAGTTTGTTAACATGAGTAGTAAATTGAAAGGTGTGTTTTATAATATTAGATATAAGGTATGATACTTGTGTTTTATAACATCAATAGTAATTTAAAAGGTGTGTTTTATAATATTAGATATAAGTTATGATACTTGTGTTTTATAACATGAGTAGTAAATTGAAAGGTGTGTTTTATAATATTAGATATAAGGTATGATACTTGTGTTTTATAACATCAATAGTAATTTAAAAGGTGTGTTTTATAATATTAGATATAAGTTATGATACTTGTGTTTTATAACATCAATAGTAATTTAAAAGCTGTGTTTTATAATATTACATATAAGTTATGATACTTGTGTTTTATAACATCAGTAGTAACTAATAAGGTGTGTTTTATAATATTAGATATAAGTTATGTGTAAGTTGTGATATGTTTTGTGTCTTTTAACGTCAATGATAATTGCAGAATTGAGGAAAAACAAGACAATTGTACATTTCACAAGTCAGAATTTATTATGACCATAGTTTTACCAGGAAAGGCACCATCAGGTGGAACCATGATCATAATAAATGATGAATTTGTGAAAAGTACAATTGCCTTGTTTTTCCTCAATTTTGTAATTATTGAGTGTCACCAAGTACCAACGGTTTCAAGTATCAAATAAATGGTAATTAGTATTAACTACATAGGTGAGAACTTCAATACAACCATAAAAGAACATAGCTAATTAAATATACTATTGTTGAGTTCCTAATTATATAGATTAGAATGTATTGTTTCATCAGTTGAGCATTTTCTGTGTTAGAGATATTTTCAGTCATGATTACAGTCATGAAATTCAGACACCAAACAACTCAAAATTATCTTTATGATAAAAACTATACATTAAACAATCTAACCAGTACTGTTAATGAAAGTAACATTTGGAAAAGTATAGAGAGTATTTGTAGAGTACAAACTCAGGTGTTTCATGCACTCTTATAGATTTTATGTCTTTTACAGATCTTGACATTTGTATATGCAAAACTTGATAGAATATTCCTTAACAATAGCTTGTGCTTGATGAAAGCCCATTATATGGCTCCAACAGTGTATTTTAGACTAGCCAGATATCTGAGATAAATTACTATATGTTACTGGTTAGCTATAGAATCAGGCAGGACAGTACAGATAGTACAACAACAAAAAACAAATGTTTATAAAGATGAAACATTTTTTCAAGAGTAATAAATAAATTAACAACTCAATTGTGCATTAAATAGCAATAATATTGACACTAATTAATATATATCCAATATAAATGTAATTAAAAGAAAAGTAATACAGTATACTTACTATTAACTGTGTCTAACTCCTCTAGTCTGTCACTTTACAATACACATCTAGTGACCAGTGGGAAATAATAAATGACGTTAAACTTTCAGTTAATTTAAGGATATAAACTTATGTAATAAAACTGAAGTAAGCACACAATAATAACACTTAGAAAAGGATGTAACAGCTATGGTAAATATGATAGTTAAAGTAACTAATGTAACTTAACTAATTCTGATTAAGAAGTTAGCACACAGGATCACGTACAAAAGTTGTGATGGTTTTCAAACGAGACCCTAAACATCTTATAATGTCAGTTATAAGTTATGATGCTAAGTTATGATACTTGTATTTTGTTATATCAGTTGTAATTTATGATGTAAGGAGTATTTGATGATATCATATGCAAGTTTTGATATTCGTCGTCTCTTGTGATATATGATGTAAGCTATGATACTTGTATGTTGTTATATCAGTTGTAAGTTATGATGTAAGATGTACTTTATGATGTTAGATACAAGTTTTGATACTAGTTGTATCTTGTGACATATGTTGTGAGCTGTGATACAAATTGTTTTTAATGATAGATGTAATTTGGGATATTTGTTTAAGTTTATGAACAATAAATGTGTCTTATATTTTTAGCAAGTGCAAGGAGAAATAGAAGATTATGACAGTCTTTATAAGAATATATCTAAGAAGGCTCAAGGGCTTATCAGGGTTCTGAGTCCACCTGAAGTTGAAATTATGATGAGCAATTTGAAACAGGTGAAAAAAGTACATCTTCTATAATGTCAGTTATTTAATGTAAATCAGCATTAACATTATTAAACATTCAGGCATTTTCTTCAGTTTATATTCCTAACATAAGTTGTTCTTAAGTGTTTATTTGTCTGTTTGAGCAAGCTTAAGTTTATATATACTCCATTTTCTCTACAAACGATTGTCATTCTGTGTTTTACAGGAAAAAGAGCTGTTATTGACGATAAGAACAAGAATTGCTTCCTGTCTTCACATCCTCTGCCAGGTTTTGACCAATCAGGAAGCACTAGAGTCAGGCATCAAGGAGTTGACTGGGTGGATAGAGGAAGCTGAAAAGGTTATTGCTGGTTACGTTATCCCAACCACACCAGAGCAAATCTCTTTACAGTTAGAAAAGCACAAAGTAAGTGTCTTGATGTGAATTTCATGCATTTATTATGACTTAATGAATATTATTTCTTTATATGAGTTAGTTTAAAAATTAAGAAAGGCTAATGCAGATAATCCTCAGATAAACTTACATAAGAGTCAAAAAACAAATAAATCATGAATATAAATATGCTTTAACAACAGTGATTTGTGTTGTCATACAAAATTGTCTGGCTATGTGTTGTTGTATTACACATTCCCTATATATAAATATAGTGTAACAACAAAGATATTTCTTTTATTGTAGATAGCTATCTGGGTATGTGTTGTTGTATTAAACGTTTACTAATTATAGATATATTTCAACAACAATGATCTTTTATTGTAGAGAGCTATCTGGCAATGTGTTGTTGTATTATAGATTTACTAAACGTAGATATAGTTCAACAACAATGATCTTTTATTGTAGAGAGCTATCTGGCTATGTGTTGTTGTATTAAACATTTACTAAAAGAGGTATATAGTTCAACATCAATGATATTTTATTGTGGAGAGCTATCTGGCTATTTGTTGTGGTATCATACATTTACTAATTAAAGATATAGTTCAACAACAATGATTTTTTATTGTAGAGACATATCTGGCAATGTGTTGTTGTATTATAGATTTACTAAATGTAGATATAGTTCAACAACAACGATATTTTATTGTAGAGAGCTATTTGGCAATGTGTTGTTGTATTATACATTTACTAATTGTAGATATAGTTCAACAACAATGATCTTTTATTGTAGAGACCTATCTGGCTATTTGTTGTTGTATTAAACATTTACTAAATGTAGATATAGTTCAACAACAATGATCTTTTATTGTAGAGAGCTATCTGGCTACATGTTGTTGTATTATACATTTACTAATTGTAGATATAGTTCAACAACAACGATATTTTATTGTAGAGAGCTATCTGGCTATTTGTTGTATTAAACATTTACTAAATGTAGATATAGTTCAGTATCAATGATCTTTTATTGTATAGAGCTATCTGGCTATTTGTTGTTGTATTAAACATTTACTAAATGTAGATATAGTTCAACATCAATGATCTTTTATTGTAGAGAGCTATTTGGCAATGTGTTGTTGTATTATACATTTACTAAATGTAGATACAGTTCAACAACAATGATCTTTTATTGTAGAGAGCTATTTGGCTATGTGTTGTTTCTTAAAGAGATTGCCATATTACAAGTCTGTTTTTACAAGTAAGAAATGCTAGCTAAAGTAGTTATGTTTTCAACAGGCTTTCTTCAAGAGATTTCCATATTACAAGTCTGTTTTTGAAAGCAAGAATAAACTTTATCAGAACTTACTAAAAGAAGCTAGTGGGGCTCCAGAAATCAACGTTGCTGGAATAAAACACACCATGACTGATCTGAATGATAGATTTGAGGTACAGTTTTAAATTTTAATGATTTAGTGTTATTGTTTCAAATTTCAAGTTTAGTGGTAATGTTATGATCCCTATAAGTCAAGATTGTTGATTTATTGAGAAAACATAAATGACATAAAAATGGAAAGTTAGTAATGAAATTCACTTATTTCATAAATAATGTTTAAGTTTGATGGTAAAGTTACATTGGTTCATATGTGAAGTAGTGATTTTGCCGATAAAAGTTTCCTTATTTCAAATATACAGCTATAGGTGTAATAAGATAACATTGTTTCAAAAGTTGTATATTCCTATTGACTGTAGCTCTTAATATTAATGATGTATATTGTGAATGCGTATGACTCATCACATTAAGGATGTACATTTTTATTGATTTTGGCACCTCACATATTACTATTGATGTATATTCCTAGTGCTTATGACTCATCACATCACATTAAGGATGTATATTCCTGGTGTTTATGACTCATCACATCACATTAAGGATGTATATTCCTGGTGTTTATGACTCAACACATCACATTAAGAATGTATATTCCTAGTGTTTATGACTCATCACATCACATTAAGGATATATATTCCTTGTGTTTATGACTCAACACATCACATTAAGGATATATATTCCTAGTGTTTAAGACTCAACACATCACATTAAGGATGTACATTTTTAGTGATTTTGGCTCATCACATCTTACTAATGATGTATATTCCTACTGACTGTGGCTCATCCAATTAAAGATTATATTTCTGTTTCATATGTCTTTGTTTGGAAAATGCAGTGTGTATTTTGTTGTACATATTAGATATATTTTATTTATTCTACATTAAAATTAATTGTTTTGTTTTAGCAATGTATCAGTTTATCAGAGCAATGGGAACAAGCAATGACAGAAGCCACCAACAGATGGCAGCGGTACTTTGAAACTGTCATGGTTATTGAAGAATGGTTAGAGAAGGCTAGAAGACTGCTTACAGACACTACAGTTAAGTGGGAGAAACTGGAAACTCAACAGGTACTTGCACTCAGTGCCCTTTCTGTGCTAGAATAAAAATGGAAGGAAATTCAGAAGGATTCATTTTCCATTATTCTTCATTGTCATAAAATACTGTAACCAAAACTGTGTCATTAAAAGTTATATAGGAATATTACTAACAACAGTTTATGTAATTTGAGGTAATGTGAGTAATACTATACTACTTCTGTAGTAATATTACAAACAATAGTTAACGTGCTTTGAGATAATGTGTGAGTAATACTATACCACTTCTGTAATAATATTACTAACAATAGTTTACATACATTGAGATAACATGTGAGTAATACTATACCACTTCTGTAGTAATATTACTAACAACAGTTTACATACTTTGAGGTAATGTGTGAGTAATACTATACCACTTCTGTAGTAATATTACTATACAACAGTTTATGTACTTTGAGGTAATGTGTGAGTAATACTATACCACTTCTGTAGTAATATTACTAACAACAGTTTATTTACTTCAAGATAATGTGTGAGTAATACTATACCACTTCTGTAGTAATATTACTATACAACAGTTTACGTACTTTAAGGTAATGTGTTAGTAATACTATACCACTTCTGTAGTAATATTTCTAACAACAGTTTATTTACTTCAAGATAATGTGTGAGTAATACTATACTATTTCTGTAGTAATATTACTAACAACAGTTTATGTACTTTGAGATAATACTAAAGTAAGAAAAACTCCATAATATTCACCAGTACTTTGTAACAATCATTCTAGACCTTTATCCACCAATAATAACATCAATAACACATTTTGTGTCAAAATTTAGACCAATTTCTTGTACACGTTTTTTTCTCTGTAATACAAACATCAAAAACTTTGTGGTATACAAAAGTTAGGCCAAATTTTTGTATTGTAAACAGCTGAAGTATGTAATTGATTCTTAAAAGTAAAAAACACATATTTTCCATCCTGCTACATCATCATTACAATCCTTGTTCCTATGAGGACAACATTTTCCTAGAATGAATAACCATTTCATTTTTCAGTTGCTTGAGAAGTACAGTGGTTAAAGTGAAATTTTGTACAAGTAAACAATCATGCATGTGACTTTTTTCACCTTTTCAAATGAAGATCTTTCTTGTATATTGTTGCCTGGAGCATTTGGACAGCTTTTTCCACTGATAGTTATGTTCATGGATGGAAGATGCAGAACTTTGCAGAAATTCTTCTGGATGTGTTCATTGTTAATCTGTATTGTTTTAGTCCACGGACTAAAACAATATAGATTAATAATGAGCACATCCAGAAGAAAACTGGTCAATGTTGACTAAAACAATATAGATTAACAATGAGCACATCCAGAAGAAAACTGGTCAACACGTTGACCAGTTTACTTCTGGATGTGCTCATTATTAATCTGTATTGCTTTAGTCCAAGTTGACAAGTTTTCTTCTGGATGTGCTCATTGTTAATCTGTATTGTTTTAGTCCATGTTGACAAGTTTTCTTCTGGATGTGCTTATTGTTAATCTGTATTGTTTTAGTCAAATCCAGAAGTAAACTGGTCAACAGTGCTCATTATTAATCTGTATTGTTTTAGTCCAAGTTGACAAGTTTTCTTCTGGATGTGCTCATTGTTAATCTGTATTGTTTTAGTCCACGTTGACAAGTTTTCTTCTGGATGTGCTTATTGTTAATCTGTATTGTTTTAGTCAATGTTGACCAGTTTTCTTCTGGATTTGCTCATTATTAATCTGTATTGTTTTAGTCAACATTGACAAGTTTTCTTCTGGATGTGCTTATTGTTAATCTGTATTGTTTTAGTCAACATTGACCAGTTTTCTTCTGGATGTGCTCATTGTTAATCTGTATTGTTTTGTTTTCAATGTCATTAAACACAAAAGATACCCCCCATCCTGGAAATTCTAAATCCTTGACTTAAACACATCTCTATGATCTGGCTATATGGAAATATTGCATCAGAATGGGAAATTTCATTCCAAAAACAATCAGTTTTACAGTTGCATAACATAACCTATAAAACACCAAACAATGTCAAAATGTTGTTCAGACACATGTCATCCCATTACAATTTTATATACACTGTGTGTACATATTATTTGCTGATTTACATATTGGAAAATTGTTTTAATATAACATACTCAACTCACTGCATAAAACAAATTTACACATAGACATTTTATTGTTTCCTTGCTACATGTAGGAGTTCTTTGAAAAACCAGTGCAGCATATGATGAGAAAACTTGTGTCTGCAAGTGAGAGTGTTATGGCAACATTACCAGAGACTGAGCAGAAACCATTGCAGGAGACTGTGGAAAATTTACAAGGACAATGGAAGGTATGGATCATCTTTCAACAGTCAGGCTGAAACTCTGAAAAATACCCTAATAATGAAACCCAAAGATGTACTAAATGGCCTAAATTAACTGTAACCATGATGTCATTTGTATATAACTCTCCAACATCCTAATCACAAATGACACCATGATTAGGATGTCGGAGAGTTATATACAAATGACACCATGATTGCGGTAATGAAGAGTATATACAAATGACACCATGATTAGGGTAGTGAAGAGTATATACAAATGACACCATGATTAGGGTAGTGAAGAGTATATACAAATGACACCATGATTAGGATGTTGGAGAGTTATATACAAATGACACCATGATTGCGGTAATGAAGAGTATATACAAATGACACCATGATTGCAGTAATGAAGAGTATCTACAAATGACACCATGATTAGGGTAGTGAAGAGTATATACAAATGTCATTAAATCATGGTGTCATTTGTATATACTCTCCAATATCCTAATCATGGTGTCATTTGTATATACTCTCCAATATTCTAATCATGGTGTCATTTGTATATACTCTTCAATACTCTAACCAAATCGTATTTTGCACATATTTTCTTTGATTTCCTTGTGTCAATTATTAATTTTCCTTTCCATTTACCAGATGTTCACTTTATATCATATTAAGTTCTTCATTCTGAGGATTATTGGAAATATAGGGTTTTTTGATCAACCATCTTGTTGCAAAGTCTGAAATATGCAATTTATGGTTGAAATTTTCCATAATTTTTCACTTTATTGTTTGTTACAACACTCTTATGTAAATTAAATATTTAGAGAAGTCTGGAATCACAATCTTAAGTGTTAAATTTAGTTTTTGAATCATTTGATAAATTGATGTTAAGGATTCAGATGTATAGTAACATATGGCTCCAAATTATGTAACTATAAAAGTTTTCTTTCTTCACAGAATATTTGGCAACAAGTTCCTACTCATTTGGTGCAACTAGAATTTCAACTATTAGAACAAGACTTTGAATTTCAGCTTCAAGAAGCTGAGAAAGAATTGAAAATTGAGCAGGAAAGATTTGACAGTGGAGAAAAAACAGAAAAGGTGCTGCAAGGTCATTGGGTAAGTTTTTGTTACTACTATAAAAATCTATGATATATAAGTTGATTGTACCAAATTGTTTATTTAATGCTGGGTTTCTGCTAAAGAGGTTGTTTTCTGTCTCTGAAACTATAACTTTCTTTCTACAGGAATTCTTCCAGTCAGGACCTACCAGCCATCGAATTCAAGGTTTACTTTCCAAGATGGAAATACTTAGTGGTCAGGAAGAAGGTAATAAACTACAAGCTGAGTGTGAGCACCACAGAAAACAGTGGGAAATACTTGAACAGAGGATTCAAGCTATGCATGACCAGCTTCAAAGAAATCAAGAGGAGTGGAGAGATTACTGCTTGAGGTAGTAACACTTACTTTCATTTTGTGATATCAGAAGTTCAAACATTTATATTTCTGTCTCACTTTTATGTACAGTCATTCATTATTCATTATTCATGATTAGACTTAGTTACATTTCTAGAACTTACATTCATTAAAAAGAACAAATAGACAATCTAAGCCCTTTGTCATCTCGATTATGTGAATTGTTTATCAACAAATAGGAAGTCAGGCCATTAACACAGTTCTACACCCTCTCACACACTGCTTATGATAACAACATATAAAGTGGGACCCAGCCCACTCAACTGAACAAAAAATGGGCACATTATCACAGCACGCAACATATGTAGAGCAGTAATCTGCAACATGAACTAGAATCAATATAAGATACATTTATTAATAAATGTCACTTCTCTAAACACATTGTCACTAGAAACTTAGTCAAGTATAAAAACAAACTCAATAACAGGAAAAAAAGAAAGGGAGAATGACATAGAATCCATGATGGAAACAAAATGCACAACCTCAAACACAATAACAGGTGTCTTACCATATCATGGATATGTAACCAAAAACATCATAAATATCATTTGTAAACAAATATCAAAGAAACACAAAATAAACAACAAAGTTATTTTTATACAAAAAAAACGAGCATTAAAATCAAAGGGTATCTGAGGAAGGTTTATTCTGACAACTTCAACGATGGAAGCATCTACAAGTATAAATGTGATACACTTATACAGGCTAAATGGGATGTAACATAAGTATTAGGATCAAAGAACGTAACAATCCTCCATCACACAAATCAACATCCAATTGATGTCAACAATTTTAAATTATTATGCAATGAGAACAACATTAATAGAAGAAAAATAAAAGAATCATTAATTATTCGTTAACAAAATCTAAGTTAAATCAAACAACAAGTTTCAACCTATATGTTTCTGGATTGGAAGAAAATACTTGCGTAGTATTACACAAAATAGAGACAGTTACTTGACGATGGCCACATGAGTGATCCAAACGTCGTAAAAAACGCACAATTAAGAATAAACAATTTACTAAAAAGCAGTATCTTTGGAAATATTTCTTAGATTCGTGTTTAATCCATGTATGTTCTTATGTACTGCTGCTACTCAGGCATCAAGTTTAATATCGTAGATTCATATTTCAATCCCTATATTTTCTTTCTTACTGAGGTTACTCAGGAATCAGACTTAATATCTTAGATTCATGTTTTAATCCATGTATGTTCTCCCCTACAAAGGCTGCTCAGGCAACAGGATTAATATCTTACATTCATGTTTAATCCATGTATGTTCTCCCCTACAAAGGCTGCTCAGGCATCATGATTAATATCTTACATTCATGTTTTATCCATGTATGTTCTCTCTTACAAAGGCTGCTCAGGCATCATGATTAATATCTTACATTCATGTTTTATCCATGTATGTTCTCTCTTACAAAGGCTGCTCAGGCATCATGATTAATATCTTAC